AATAATAATTATTAGTAGTAGTAGTAATAATTATTTCTAAATTAATTGTTTTTTTCCCAAGATTGTAATTTTCTATTTTTTCATGTTTAATTGAGCAAAAAGACACTGTATATTGATATCTAAAATTATAAATGTAATTATTACTTGCAGTGTATGTATTTTGACGCATGAAAATATATAAAATTAAAAAAAACTTTAATTGAGGTAAATATTTAATGCATTTATTGAAATTTCACTTTCACAACCTGAGGGGTTGATTTAACATGCCCTGTCTGGTTCTAAATGAAGATCATTTAGAATATTCTGGCTTTTGAAAATCTGTCCCATCCTCCATTGGCCCAGCATTTGTATGCTGCCATTTTAATGGCACTTCTTTCAGTGAATCCACTGTGTGGCTTTTCATAGAGGAAATCCAGCTTGGAATAGAATAGGCCCTCATAAAATCCACTTCCTCAATTCAGCTCTCTGCCGAGTGTGTGTGAGGAAATAAGGCCCCTTTCATGCCCCCACATTCCTCAGAGGCTCTCAGAAGTCCAGGTAAAGGGTTATCGCTATGGTGATGGCATTTGGCACTTCTATTTTCAAGCGCTCAGATTCAAACAGTGGTGTGTGTGTGTGTGTGTGTGTGTGTGTGTGTGTGTGTGTGTGTGTGTGTGTTTGTGTTTTGGAGTGTGTGGTGGGGGTAGGGTATTTGTATGTGTTTCTAAAGTCTGCCCAGTGCCTGCTGCAGAAATAAACTGTAAATTAGAAGCTTTATCTTTGGGGATCATTTTACACACATGGCAGTCGCTCCTGCGTCAAAGCGAGTGAGGAAAGGTGGGGGTGAGGACGAGATGGGCTATCCAGTCCTGGTGCTCTCTTTCTGCACTGCACTGAAGTGAGATAGACGGCCTCTGCCATCTGCCCCCAGTCACTCCAACTGTTTGGGTTCAACATTATATAACAGTTATATGTGTAGAGACTGGCATATGTGCTATGAACACCAGATTGCTTTAATACTGTGTGAAAGGCTAAAAGGATAGTGTTGATATTAACAGGATGGTTGAGTTATTATGCAACTCAGAATAGGCCAGGATACTGTAAAGTACAGTACTTTTAAGCAATCTTATTAAAGAAATTGCAAATTGCGTTATATAATACCTGAAGTACTTTAATGATGACATAATATAATGCCTGCGCGAAATCGATCAGTGTATAACATTATAAGCAGCTCAGGTACTGACTCTCTAAAATCTCTATGAACAGGTATTACCTGAAGGATTCTACAGTATATGGTGCCATGACCCTAACATTAGCTAGACAGTTTTCTGATATTCAGAACTTCATGTATTTAAAGGAAACATGCTGGCATTTTTAGTGAATTAAAGACATGAACATGTGTCGTCACTCTACCTATATGTCTATCTGTTGCTGACTCTCTTTGTCTGTCTGTTGCTCTCTCTGTCATTATGTCTGTTTATCTGTTGTTGTTTATATCTGTCTCTCTAGATGTCTCTCCCTCTGTCTCACTATCTTTTGCTCTCTATCTGTCACTTTCTCTGTCTGTCTGTCTATCTGTCTCTCTCTCTCTCTCTCTCTCTGTCTGTCTCATCTCATCTGCCACTTTTTATATCTGTCTCTCTCTCTCTGTCTTTCTATATGTTACTCTGTCTCTCTATCTCTTGCTCTCTTTCTGTCATTCTCTCTTTCTCTCTCTGTCTGTCGCTCTCTCTCAAATTAAAAATTAAAATTGCTTTATTAGCATGATTATAGTGCTGGGCGGTATACCGGTTCATACCGAATACCGGTGTTTATTTTTGTTATGATATGAATTTTTAAAATACCGCAGTGTATGTCGCTTAAACAACGTTCGAAACGCAACACTGTTTGAAAGGGGTCCCTTTTCACTGTTGCACTGTGGTGAGGGAACAGCTGTATGTGTTACTAAGCGTGAAAGTTCCGAAACTGAAGCTGTAGAACTAATAGAACGTGATGACACAGAAGAACTCATCCACAATATTAGGGGTCGACCGATAGTGGATTTTGCCGATACCCATAGCTAGGTTGGACCACACTGGCCGATACCGATTAATTAACCGATAGTTTTAAAATTGATACTGAACAACTAAAATAGTGCTTTATTAACAAAAACAGTACTGAACCATACTAGTAGTAGTAGTAAAAAAATAATAATAATAGTAATAGTAAATGTTGAAATTAACACACTCTAACAAGGAACAATACTTACACAGCTTTCATTAATCTTAATGCTACAAATGGACTCTTATTTTAAAGTGTTAACATTTCATTTCAACTGTCACGCTTAAAGATGCACATCTTTAAATATATACACAAAGGCTATAGCATTCAAATTATATACATATGGATATTGTATGTATACTCTCACACTTTAACTGCTTCTATTCTTGAACACTTGATGATTATCTAATCAAAATAAAAGTGCAGCACTGAGTCTAGGAGAACTCACCGGTATCACACATTTCAACCACTAGAGGCCGCTCTCGCACTGTATAATGACAGTAGACCCTTCTCAGCCGCTCCAGCAATGGACGCAACCCGGAAAACTATCGGCATGGATTTTTGTCGATAACCGATAGTTCCAGCAATCAACTATCGGTGCAGATTAATCGGCAAAACCGATACATCGGTCGACCTCTACACAATATCCACATTGACCGCCACAAATATCCACCGCCCCCTGCCATCAGCTCCCGCGTCTCACACACACGAGCGCGACTTTAGCACTAGATTTAGCAACTTTCAGACCCTTTTAGCGGCTTTTTTCCATAGAATATTCATACTGACAAACCTAGCGACTTTTTTGGATAAACCTTAGCTATGGTTCAGTTGGAAGATTTCGCCAGTGCTGTCCCGCGAACGCGAGGTCTGACTTTCCCGGAGAAGTGTCACCTCTCTTGGCATCTGTTCTGTGCAGTGAGCGGCAGAGAAGCAGCGCATTCAGTTGGCCGCACCGCAGCAGACTCGTCAATAAATGAGCTGATGAACGATAAAAACATTGACAGACAATCAGAGTCAATCCTGCTATGACGAGCTCGAAAATTTAAAGCGGACAGACGATATCATCCGCTGGACGCTAATATAGCTATCTTTATAGTTATCGTTCTTGGAGTGAACGGGCCTTTACAGGACAAAAAGAACAACAGATTAATAAACAAATAATCAAAACGAGAAAGGGTAAATATGTTCTCTATATACATAAGAAGTAACATCTCATAGATGTTCAGGAGGTTAATATTATGGATGACTTCACTCAGTATCTCTTAAATTGTGGCATCTCAGATTGTGGCATAAATTTCTCTTTGTAAATTAATGAAAGAAACCCAGGGATTGGTTTTTTTTCTCCTGTAGAATGGGTTTCTTGAAGAGGAGTATTTTGAGCAGTGAAGGAAGAAGTGCATCTCTGTCTCGTCTAGGGTTGGGTACCGAAACCCGGTACCAATATGGCACCGGTACCTATGTAACCGGTATGTACTAGAACTGAATCAGAATGCAGATTTCGGTGCCTCATTTCAGTGCCATGCCTGAGCGATCGATTGAAATATTTGAATATGAATAATTTGAACTCAAGTCGGAAAGCTCTAATAATACAAATCCAACAAATCTTTGTAGTAACGCGAGTGTCCATGTTGTTTTCACATTCCAACTTAAAAGCACAACTCGGGAAATGAGAGCATCTGAGGAGTGTGTGAATGCAGTAATTACACTTGCTCTGATGGCTGCAGGTAGCCTTTCGTTAAAGGATTAGTTCACTTTCAAATTAAAATTTCCTGATAATTTACTCACCCCCATGTCATCCAAGATGTTTATGTATTTCTTTCTTCAGTCGAAAAGAAATTAAGGTTTTTGATGATAACATTCCAGGATTTTTCACCATATAGTTGACTTCAATGGACTCCAAACGGTTGAAGGTCAAAATTACAGTTTCAGTGCAGCTTCAAAGGTCTTTAAATGATACCAGACGATGAATAAGGGTCTTATCTAGCGAAACGATCGGTCATTTAAAAAAAAAAAAAAATGTATATGCTTCATAAACACAAGTGTTGGCCTTGCTCTGTTCTGCGATGCGCGTTCATGACTTCACGTGATACGTAATTACATTGAAAAGGTCACGCTTGACGTAGGCGGAAGTACCGAGTCAGTGTTTACAAGTTGAACGTGCAAATACTGTCAAACACAGTTTACAAAAAAAGGGAGTTAAAAGGTAAAACAACGATGTCGGACGATTTTGAACTTGGAGGAGAAGATGAGATGGAGTTTTTCGCCCTGCCCTACCTTTTTGAACCGGAATACACAGAGGAAGAAATTAGGCAGATGGAGGAGACTGCTGCGGCGACACAAACCTCTCAAGCTTCGAGCAGACGAAGATCTAACGAGACGTGGTGGTGCACATGTGGCAAATGCCAACCATTGCCAACAGAGAAAGAATCTCAATGCTGCCACGACTGGACCATTTCAATTCCACCATTAGAATCAGTCAGTGAGTCAGCTGGTGAGACCCTGTCTCCATCTTGCTGCATTACCGAACAAAATTGGTTTCCACCGCTACTGAGCAACAGCGTTTTAGAGGTGTTTTTTTAGTTTGCCCCAAATTAACTGGAGACGCCGTCCGAGGCCACAAGGACCTGGTGGCACCCTAACAGTAGAGTAAGTATCGCGTGTAGTGTGATTACATGTAGTACAAATATATATATTTAAAAGTTATTCACTACACACATTTCTTTTATTTTACAGTCAATACAGGCTGGTGGCATACAGGATAGTTCTGGAATGGATGCTGAAAGGAGAGAGATTGGGAAGACAAAACAGGAGGGTTCTTCCATCCTGTGTTGTCAGTGCCATCAGACAGTCATACCCTTCTCCATCAGGACATTATGTGGGCTTCAGAGAAGCAGAAGAAGCTTTTGGTCTTTTGTAGGAATATTAATTGGAATTAGAATTACAATGTTACATTTCTGATAAACATAATTTGTTGTGGCTTGGGTAGTATTTGTTACTTACTGTAATTGCTGTAGTTTTGTTACTTTCATATTCAGTGTTATTTGTTGTTGTATATACATCAACACTACATACTTGATGTCTCACACGAACGTTTATTTGGAAGAATAAAACAGATTTGAAATAACTACAGTCGTTGATGTGTAATTGCAACTGATGTAGGGTACCATCAGTAAGGACCATATATTCACACTAACACAAGAAATAGGTTTTTTTTTACCAACGGTGTATTCTGTCGTTACCTCAATAAGAAAAAATGAGAAAAACTATAAAACAACATGAGTAATAATAGTAATTGTACATTAGACTCATAACATTTTTAAAGTAAATTAGTGTCCAAATCTTGATAAGTGCTTTGCAATTACTTCTTGCTTGTCAGGCCTTGGTTTTAGGGCTATGTTCTGTGGCAATTGGCGATGAGTCAAATGAGAAGAACTGTCCTTGTAAACAACGTTGGTGTCCAGCCGCCGCTGTAGAACTTTCTCAACCAGAGTCTCTCTGAATTTTTGAGTGGTTTGTTCAAAAATCGCTTTGGCTAACCATTCTTTGGTATGTTTCGGGAAAACCACATTGTACCGAGGTACACCTATAATAAAAGAAAAAAGATGAAACATAACAGAATAAATTATACAAATTGTATTGATTAAATTACTATAACAGAACATTCCCATTTGATTCTCAACTTTATGAACTCAAATCTATTGTCATCACCCTACATATTGAGACATTTTTAGTAGTTACACACAGTATGTTGTTTCCCACTTACCAGTAGTGGTTGTGGCTTGCTGAAGACCTACATTTTCATTGTGGTCAAGGATAGCTAGTTGTGTTCTTGCAACCATGGACGCATAATGAAAATGCAGGTTCTTTGAGCAGTACTTCAGTAGGACAGAATGAAACACCTCCAGTTGTCCTAAAAATAAAAGAAAAATTTGTATCCGGTGTACCTACATGAACATGTGTATGTACATTAGTATGTGTATATAACTATCTTACCAGTGTGTTTGAAAAGAGCCATTTGCCTCAAATCCTTTAGAAGTCCTTTGTCCAGGACAAGACTCTGTAGTGTGTGGAAGGCACGTGAGTTTTTTCCAAGCCATTTTTTTCTTTGTTGCTGTTGCGGACTGAGATCATTGTGTCCACATTTTTTCGGCTTTCCTTCTTCAATCCAACTGTGCACACCTGTAATGTGAAAAAGAATGGACTTCCAATACTCGATCAGTTCCTGTATAAATACATGAATACGCAAAAAAGTAATTATAATAATAATGTATGAATTATAAACAGAAAAATAGATGTTTGTGGTCCAGCAACCCCAATATTTAAAACATTACAAGAAAACAATTTAGCTCCCTATAAAGAACAAAGTCTAACAAACCATAGTAATAGATTTTTTTTTACAAAAAATGCAGACTGTCCTGTTGTGGTTCAGGGACTCATTTATAACATTAGTACAGTATAAAGGCTATTATGTCTACGTAACGCCCCCAAAAAAGATAACACAAGTGTGTGTGTATATATTAAGAAATTAAAGTTAATATTAAAACATTAAATAACTTACGTCAGGGTCACCTCCACAAGTTGCAGAGCAATACCATAGATGGTTACAAATACTTCGTATCCATGGCTGCAGCTCTCGATTGTCCTTGTATCTTGACATGGAGCACAACTTTTTGGAAAGTCCTGAAAAACAATAATTTTAATTATCAAACAATGAAGAAGGAGTGACAATATAGTGCATACCAAGGTTAATTTAGTACTTCACGGTTTATTGTAGCAATTTTTTGATCCATGCAAACAACACATTGTATATTCCTATAGGAATAAATAAGCTTTGAACTATGTTGCTTTTTGGATAATTCATGATTAATATCTCTCGCTCTCTCCCTCTCTCTCTCTCTCTATATATATACATATAGTAGTATTAAATTGTTGTGAGACAGTTACCTTTGACTACATGCCAAATATCAAATTCGTGGTGAATGTTGGGATATTCTACACGCATAATCTTTCTAATAGATGGTGATCTGTCTGTGGTCAGCACATCTATTTTGATTCCTTGCTCTTGTAGTGAGTTCACAGCCCTCTTGAAACCTACTGGCTCCATGGCCACAGAACTAGATGCTTCTGTAACCTGAAATGCAATACCATGCTAGATAAACAAGGTGTGTGTGTATTGTCGTTGATATTTTGAACATCAACGACAATACACACACACCTTGTTTATCTAGCATGGTATTGCATTTCAGGTTACAGAAGCATCTGGTTCTGTGGCCATGGAGCCGTTAGGGTTAGGGTTAGGGTCAATATAAAATGATCATAACATTGCAAAAACTGCCAGTAATGTTACTGTACTTCACTTTAAAATACTGAACACTTTACTAAGGTTACTTATAATTAATAACATACGGGATGTAGAATTATGTCATGTAAACTGACCTGCACCAACTCAAAGTGAGCAATCTTGTCTGTTGTGTCATCCATTAAACTGTAAGTGTTGTATTTCGCCGAAAATCCAGGGCTAAAAGAAGCACAAGTACAAAACATTTCAGTATTGTTCATTTTCTAAAATTGTCCAAAAAAAGTAATAACTACATTTACTTGCCTGTCTGACCTCCCATCTCCGGACAAATGAACTGGATTACGGAGTTCAGTTTGCAAATGTAAGTCATTAATTGCTGCTTTCTGTTGTTCTTGATATTCTTCATTAACGACTGGAATAAGGTAGGAAGACTGAATGTCATGATAAGTGGTTTTATGGGGTATTTGAAGGTTGAGCAAAGTGGCCCAATCAGCGATGTCTGTATATGTTGCTCCAGCGAATAGTGTGCATGCAGAAACAAGAAGATTATTAGTGGGCATTCCCCTAACATCAGTGCATGAACTCCACTTTCCCTTGTGTTTTTTTTCACATTCCCAGTGAACACGGCGAACACTTCCCACAGTTGCTTTTCTGGTCTTTGTTATTACTGATCCACATTCTTGACATCTTTTGAAAAGCTCCATGACATTGGGCTCGTTGACAATCCACTTTATCTGTTTCCAATGCATTTCACATTCCTCATCTTCTGTGCTTGGGGCAGACGTTGAGGTTGAACTCAGTGGCTGAAAACTAAGATCTTTCTTGTCCGATGGAGGATCTATGGAAAGCATGCTAACATCAAGCTCCAAACTTTCTTCAAATTGCTCTTCTGTCTGTTCTGGTTGATTATACACAGGAGGCTGTGAAATTACATGGATTAAATTTGGTTTATTATATAACTGAATATAAATTAGTAATGTAAATAGTAGATGTAATACATTTATTACAGTATATCTGTGCATTTTTAAGGATACAACATCACCAAATTATTAAATACATTTTTAGAAATTAATTTATTTCCAATGTATAACACAAAAGCATAATTGACCATAATTTCACTTTGTTAACTAGTCACAAATGATGGTACTTACAGGCTGGTGGGAGTGTATTGCAGGGAGGGCATAATATGTCCCAGATGTTGAGGGTTTTGTCCACTTTCCAACACTTTCTGGACTTGTGAGCACTAAACAAAACATTTTTAGAAATTAATTTATTTACAATGTATAACACAAAAGCATAATTGACCATAATTTCACTTTGTTAACTGGTCACAAATGATGGTACTTACAGGCTGGTGGGAGTGTATTGCAGGGAGGGCATAATATGTCCCAGATGTTGAGGTTTTGTCCTCTTTCCAGCGCTTTCAGGACTTGTGAGCACTAAACAAAGTTTAGACTGAGCATCTGCAAACTGTCTCGTGGTAGTTCCTGGACCAGAGTCCTGATGCTTTGCTGGTGTTGACTGTGGGACATTAGCCAATAGGAAGACATTAGTAATAAATAAACATTCACACGTTATGAAACGAGAAAAAACGTTAATGCATCTAATATAGTAAAAAAAAACATACATACCTCTGTTTGCTGTAAAAACGTATTAGGCACAGCCGACGCTTTCAGAAAACGGCGATTTCCTTGCTGGGAGGGTTTGAAATCATCGTCGAAAAAATTATCACTGCACACTCTCTTAAATATCAGAGCATGTTCGGGTGTGTTGATATCCAAGTGCTGCGCGAGCAACCACAGCTTCAATCGCTCAGGATTGTGTATGGGAAATCTATGAAAAGTCAAAATTTTCTTTCCTAGCGAAAATGTTCTTTTAGGTTTTTTAATATTAAAACATTCAGGATACGCACACGAAATGACCATTTTAAACAATAAACTGACACAAAGACATTTGAATATGTGTCATTGAACATTCAACAACTCTTGAACGGTCCTCCTCCTCCACATTTGTAAACACTGACTCGGTACTTCCGCCTACGTCAAGCGTGACCTTTTCAACATAATTACGTATCACGTGGTTAAAGCCCTTTGAAGCTGCACTGAAACTGTAATTTTGACCTTCAACCATTTGGAGTCCATTGAAGTCAACTATATGGTGAAAAATCCTGGAATGTTTTCATCAAATACCTTAATTTCTTTTCGACTGAAGAAAGAAATACATAAACATCTTGGATGCCTGCAATTTTCGTGTCCACTCCTTTAAACATTCTAATATTGTCTAGAATTTTGGCGCATCAGGGAGCCGCTCTCAGGATGCGGTGTATTTAAATATTTTTGAATGAGCGTTTGCGCTGTTTACTTTCACTTTCGATTTCGCAATCACACGCATGTGTAAAGGGAGCACATCTTACAAGATACTCCAGCATGGCCTTGTCAGTCATCTCTACTTATTCTCGACCTGTGATCAGGCAAATCCGACTCCGGTAGCTCTCGTTAGACATTCACTTTCGATTTCGCAAACACACACACTCTGTGTAAAGGGAGCACATCTTACGTGATCAGATATTTGTCAATGAGCTCAGGATCTGTTGAGCAGCAAATACTCCAGCATGGTCTTGTCAGTCATCTCTTCGTCTGCCTTGATATCACAAATCCAAGAAAATATGCGTTGTAGTCCAAACGAGTTGTTCGTTGTAGTTTTTGAAAAGGGATTTCTGTTAAATAAAATATCTCCTTTTGAAGTGGACTTTGAGCTTTGTAACTTTGCAGATCTTTTTTATGCTCAAACAGCAACATTACAGACTAACTAAAGTTGAAAAAGCATAATAGGACCCCTTTAAACTGTTGCCATGGGTTGATTTTCCCAAGTGGGCTAAAGGTTTGAAATATTGCATAAATTCTATTTGACTGAAATGCTTGTATTGAAACATTTTGCATTCTACCTATGATAAAACTTGTATGGACTTCTGATGTCTTATGGTTTTATTTATAAAGAAAAAAGAGCCTCTAACACAAGCATTCTCTATTCTTTCTCTATTCTTTCCACTTATTTTCTTTTTGTTTATTATAAATAATGACCTTCTAACACTAGTATTATCTGTTCTTTTTCTGTTCTATTGAATTGTTTTATTTTTATTTAAAAATGACCCTCTAACACTGGCATTCCCTATTCTTTTTCCATTCTTTCTATACTGTTAGGTGAAGCCCCGCCCATGAACCCCGCCCCCTACTGTCCTTTTTTTTGGAAAACTAAAATATGGTCACCCTATTATAAATATACTTAATTATTATGAAAATACCAGAGATGGCTTAAATAACACAGATAAACTATATTGTCGCAGTCGAGTGTTTATTGTCTTTGTTTTATCATTCAAAACGTTTATATGTTCTGTTTACTCAGTTACAGCTATAATAGCCATGCCTTTATCCATATAAGGGATTTCCTGGAGGGTCATGAGTTCTGTACTTCTGTGACTGGATATGTCGATTTTCTGTTCGAGGGCGCCCTCTGGCATCCAGTATGAATGAAACAGACATCATGCGTTTATAGTGCTAATGGCCAATCCATCATTTTTGGGGGGAATTTTTATTTATTTTTTAATAAGTATCGGTTAAGGCACTGTTTAGGCACCGGAACCGTTTTAAAAGTATCGATTTGGCACCGGTATCGAAAAAACCCCAAACGATACCCAACCCTAGTCTCGTCCTGTCTCTCTCTTTCTCTGTCTATCTGTCACTCTGTTTATTTGTCTCTATCTGTTACTCTCTGTCTCTCTATCTGTTGTTCTGTCTATCTGTCACTTTTTGTCAGTTATCGCTCTCTTTATTCTTTCATATTTCTTAATATGTCGCTCTCTGTCTGTCTATCTGTCACTCTCTCTGTCTATCTATTGCTTTCTCTATCCCTCTAGATCTATCGTTCTGTCTGTCTCTTCTTGTCTCGTCTCCTCACTTTCAGTAAGGATCTAATATAACTGTGCGCCTCCTCTGCACCCCATCCTCTTCCAGTCTCAGAGGCCTGTGCTGCACTTGCTGTGCCATAAATCAAAACACTAAGCATAGCTTTGAAAGCTGAAATTAAACTCTGAATAACTGCTTTCAGGCAGCTATGCACTTTTTCTTAGTATTTGGAGTGAAGAGAACCCTCTGATTGCTCAGAAGTTCCCAGTACCGTCACATCGCTAATGCCAATCGCACATTATGAGGGTATAAATTAAGCGGTGTGCAGGGGAAGAGGGGTGTACCGAGCTTTAACTGGCAATGGCATCCCAACACTGCGCAACTGAGACCTGCTGAAAATTGTTGGAATGAAAACATTATTATTCCCACAAATGCAACAAATTTAGCCAGATTCTCGGGTTATTCGACTATTTGAGTGTCAGTAAGAGCAATACACCATGAGTATTTCCAAATCCTAGAAAGCCAGTGCTCTTGTAGTGGAAAACTGTCTTCTAAAGGTTAAGGAGATAATTTTGATAGGTCATGGCCGTGGACACCCATACAGCGCTCTGATAGCTCTGGAATGCCACAGTGTTAATTGAAGACTCAGTGTGGTGCTGGAGTGTCCGGGATGATGGGAAGGAGACAGGTGTGATGAGCCCGGCTCCTGTCAGTGCAAGAACATACTCAGCACCTGCAGAGCCATCGAGAGGCCCAGGCACTGTTACAGCACGTCCTAGAACAAGCTGGCTGGCATAAGCAGGCAGACAGGTGTGATTCTGGAGCTGAAGGAGAGGGCCATGCATGAACCCTCCTTGCTCATAGGATTTCCCAGCGTTACACAGCTCTGCTGGTCTCAGCAAATCCACTCATATGCTAGCATTGACAAGCCCATCTGTCCTTTAGCACCCGGAAGCTGTTTTTTTATAATGCAGCCCCACGAAATACCTACAAAGATAGGCCATGACTATTTACCTATGGTAAATATTAACCTGTTGTACGTCATTATAATTTATTTAGATTTTTAAATTATAATTTACTTATATTGTTTATATTTTAAGTAAATATATATTCTTAAACATAAATGTCTATAAATTAAAAATTATATTCATATACACTTTTTTTTTTTTTTGGACATTAAATGGTTCAAACGTAACTGATTTACATTGATACTTCATGATACTTCACATAAAAGCAGTGTTTTGAACTTTCTAAGAATCCTGAAAAAATGTATCTCAGTTTCCACAGATATTAAG